TGACTATCTGTCCAGCTATTACAAGATCCTTGAAAACTAAGATCTTTTCTGCAGCAAAATGTTTGTTAGGAATGCAATCTTCTTTGAAGGAATGGGGAGAAAACAGCATGTTCTGGACTGGCTATGGTTTGTACTACCTGACTGAAAAGGTAAAATTTACTTTCTGTATGCATGAAAAATATGCTGCATGTCTTAATATTTTAAAATGAAACCAAGAACAGAGTTGTCTTTTGAGACTTATTCCATGGGAAATGGTTTTATCATTATGCAGTTGTTTGAAACATCTTAATGTCTCCTTGCAATCACTATTTAGTGATAAAAATACTGGCCACACAGGGTGACACCGGGCTGTGTTACTAGAAACAAGGACAAGCTGTTAAACCCTCTCCTGGGTGAACTGTCCTGTGTTTAAGGCAGGGATTTGTGTATCCAACATCCTGCGAGGCACAGCCCGGAGACACAGAGGGCCAGTGAGTCCCACGGTGACTCATGAGCACACTCAGATTGGGTTCAGCACCCAACTGGATTAGGCCTTTCATCCCTCCTTCCCCACCCCAGTGATCCCAAATTCCCACCAACTTCCAAACTTGATCAGCAGTCATTACAACTTTTGCAGCTTTTGTTTCTGTGTGGTAGAAAGGCTTTTTTCCCCCCCTTTAAAGATGGAAAATCAGTAATAAAAGCTCCTGCTATACTGGGATGCCCAGTATGTCCCAGACTTGGGCACAACAAAATAAGGAACAAAATCCTAAGCCCAGACCAAACAGTCCCAACAAAGAGTAAGCAAGACATACAAATGTCACCATCAATCCTCCTTTTCCAAGCATATGCTTTGTAAGGCACAATAAATACAGTTTAACTTGTTTCCAAAGCCTCAAGCAAACAAAAACATCCAAGCAGCAGCTGTCAGTTATTCATATTGACCAAGAAAATGAAAGTACCAGTCAGTATATTGGAAAATGAAGCTCAAAGGAGGTGATAAAATTAAAATTCACTGACACTGAGAACCTCAGCTGAACTCCTGGATCTACCAGACACCAACATCTCTGCTTTTGTCTCAGCACTCCATTTAGAGATTTCAGATTACCTCTATAAAACTTGAGCTTGAATATGATTTCTGGGGTTTTGTGCATGTGGTTTGTCTCTTTAACTCCACAAAAGTGGGTAGTTAATTTTATCAGCATTCTCCAGGAAAATGTGTAATTGAAAATACAGTATAACACAGGCAGTGAATGCCAGTTTAGCTGTCAGCAAGCAAAGAGCTAAGAAGATCTCAGGGTCTCAGAGCACAACGCCTGGGAGCTCTGCTGGAACTATATATTTGAAATTCCCCATTTCAGCAGACAGCCCTGTTCCAAGTATTCCACAATAGAGTCTTCCCTATATGCAACAATCCAAAAGCAAGGCTGTTCTGTGTGTAATTTTGCCCAATTATGCTCAATACACAAAAATTACTCTATTAAACAAAGCCATGGGTTGAGTCTCAGTTTGAAGACAACCTTCTTCCTATCCCCCAAGAATTTTCTGGCAGAAAAGAGGTATGTTCTTAGAATTCCTCTCCTCTCCCCAGCACTATCCACCTCCCAAGTGGCCACGAGGACTTCCAGGTGTTGAGGGCCAGAGTCTCCTGCGCATGGAGACGAGGAATGATCATCCTCCTGGGAGAGGAAGCAGAGACCAATCAACCAGTCCATAAGAAAGATAAGTATTCAGAGTATTTGCTACAATCTAGAACTAGTCCACAGAAAGTAATAATTCCCCCAAAGAGTGGAATACCTCCTGCTGAAATACTGGTCATGGGGAATAAACAACTGTGACCCATTTTTTAATATAGCCCAGAGACAGCTCAAACAAATCTCAGCATAAAGGACAAGAGCAAAACAATAAAACAAGATAAATACAAGAACAATTCACCAGCCAGAGCTTCCTTACCTATTTTATCAGGAGACACTTCCCTGTAAAGCCCTCTAGTGCACACTGGTCGTGTATTGCAGGGGCCGCTTAAACAAATCAATGGCTCATTAGTACCTGGTGAGCATCCAGCTTAATGAAATAGTCTGTTCATCCATTATCAGAGACCAGAAACAATCCCTGCAGAGTGAAAGATGTAGGATCTTAAAAGTCCTGCTGTGGTAGGGTTGAGATCAGGGTTAGAGAACATTTTAGAGCTTTACATCATTGTCAGTTTAACAATACAGTTTGATATGTGGTTAAACAGGACAGTTTGTTTGGGTAACTCCTGGGTATTAATGAGCTTACATTCATTTTATGGGATTAAAGTCTGTTTTAAGGTTTTAAGAAGTTGCCTGAGGCCATAACAACTAGTTAGGAAGGTTACCAGCTTTCTTAGAGGAATGAAGAGCCTAAAAAACCAGTGCCAGCCTGACCAGCACCCCCTTATACAGGGTTTTTTCCCTTTAACTAAATATACATTGTCAGCAAACATCTCTGTTAAGTACAAAACCAAGTAGCTCCAACAAGGGTGGGAGGGATAGGAAATAAAAGTTACAGCACACAGATAATACTCACAAATCCAGCAGCAGTTAAATAAAGGAGCTCAGGAACCAAGCCTAGAGCCTGAAGTGACTCTCTGTGCCAAACATGGCCTGGGCAGTTCAGAACAGCATTCCCAAATATTCCTTTTCCAAACCATAGACAAGCAAGCAGCTCACTGATCCAAAAAGCAATTCCCTCACCTTCTCCAAAGCCTGGTTGCTCGAGGGACTGCTGAGAAAGAAAGCTCCAGCTATTGAGAACAGGCACTCAGCCTTCTCCTGATAGGGGAGATCTCAAAAACTGATGAAATAACTGAGCAGGCTCCACCTTCACAAGCTCTGCTGGGATCAAAATCAGCCAATTTAATACATTCACCACCTTAACTGCAGGAGAACTGACCTGGAGATGAAAGAGAGCTTCGATACCCTCTGCATCCCTGCCCAACAGTGCTGGCAGGGTCCAGACTGAAAAGTGGAAGAGGTCAAGTATTACCTTACATCCCATCTTTTTTATGGAAAGCTTTTAAAAAACTCACAGATTTACCATGTACTAAGAGATAAGTGATGATAATTTACCTGCATATTTAAATAAAGCCTCTACAACACATTCTACAGTAATTCCACCCTCATGGCTTATGAAATTTGCATTTATACCACCAGGAAAGCACCACCGGACACACTTTATCTTTCTTCGCACCTCTTGAAATTTAAGACAGACAAATATTTAAGCATCAGATACGTTTATTAGACAACTCAAAAAGTCAGTTTTATTAGACAACTCAAAAAGAAAAGTAGAATGTATTTTAATGTCCATGTTTTAATACTTCATGATCTCAAGAACGTGGCAATCACAGAAGATAAAAACAGTGTTTACAAAAGTCCCAAAAGCTGCACTGCATTCCCAGTTATAGGAAACACCATTAGAGGACAAGGAAGCTTTCTAAAATGCAGCCACAGATTTTCAGCTGATTATGAAACACAGTGATATAGCCATGTATATGCATTCACAAAAAAATCGGCATAGTATGGAAATTAAGGCACTTTGGATACATAGTATTCACTTCCATATAGGAAAACAATTTCAGAGAAACCACAGTAAATTGCTACTGGAGGATGGTGACAGTATGCCCAGTACAGACCAGCAGAGCACCAGGTTTGGGTGAGTGAGTGAAGTTCTGGTTAAAAAAAAAAGCAATGAAATATTTTTTTTACCCTATTTGATTCAAGCAAATTTATCTTTATAGAAGCCAAGGAAGATTTCCATGGTCTAAGCACTGATAAAAACAATTTTAAGAGTTAAATGTAAGAAGTCCATGTGAAAACCGCATGAAGTGCACATTAAGGATTAGTGCATGTAACTGTTTCAAAAGAATAAAAATAAAAAGCATTGACCTTCTCCATCCAACATTCACCTGCTGTTTCATGAGGTCCCCACCAACCCCAGCCAGTCCAAGGGAACACAGTACAGCAGGATAATTTGGCAAAGAGCAGTTTCTCTTCAGGGCTGCACTTTCTCCTCCTCCTGTTCAGTTTAGATTGTCCCTGTTTCCTGCCTGTGTCCCCCTGTGCCACCAGCACACTGATATCTAACACATCTACAACACACTCCAAAAATAATCATTCTCTAATTGAAAGGAAAATTCATCTCAGCTGGTTTCCCCCAAAACACTTTGAAAGCAAAACTCAGTAACTGAGTAGTTTTGCAGCCTTTGGTAGGTAAATGCTAAGGAGTAAAACCACTCCAAAATCCAACCCTAATCCACCAGGAGTTAAATAGAATTGTTAGCAATGGCATTAGGCATTTATAGGATCAGGCACTTAAATTTGGTATTATTGTTGCTGATTTATTAATTTGAGTTGCTGATTTATTAATCTGAGTAAAAAAATGCCATTGTATAGGAAAAAAAAAAAGGTAACTTCTTCAAAAATCAAAGCAGGGCTTAGACATGAAAACAATGTTTACTCCAAAGAACTTGGCTTTTAATTAGGTCAAATAATTCCCATGGGAGTAAGGTCCAGCAGATTTCATCCAGAGCCAGGAAGAAGACACTAAGATACATCTTGACAAGTATGTCCTGCTATATCTTTGATGTACCATTAACATCCAGGAAAAACTCTGCTTTCATGTTAATTCTTCTCTTACCAGAACAACAGCCTGGACACCCGTGACTACAAAACACAGCATTCCCCAGCACTGAACTGTTCCCCTCACACACAGCTGATATTTCAATTTAAAACATGGAATTAACCTTCCTGAAGCCTGCTTTTCCATTCCTACTTGAGCCATATTCCATTACTTGGACCACAGAATGATCCCTGTCCCCAGTATTTGAGTGTTCATGGAAAATCCATCCATTCTGAACCTTTGCTCTGAGTTGTATCAGAATCTGTTCTCACAAAGCTACAGTAACAAAACTTAGTTTTCTAAGTGTGATGATGTGCATCTTTACCAGCATAATGCTATTTAAAAATATAGTGTTTTAATGTAACAATCTTTTTCTTTCCCAGACAAAAAAACAGTAATTGAATAAGTCTGTTTTAAAAGCAATGAGAAGAAGCCTTACCCAGAACACTCAATTCTTTGAAGTTCAGGCATTTCACACAAAAATAACGAACTGAACACTAGATTGTGATTTTAAGTGTCCTGAGAGCAGTGTCTCCTTTTGTGAACCTTCAAAAGACAAGTAATGTCAGCTCTGAGCACTAAAATATATTATTCCCCAAATACATCCCCAACTGTTAGGCTGAGTAGGGACACAGAGTATCTTGGTGGGGAGAAAAATATCTTTTAAATAAACATCATAAGTGGAAAGAAGGATTTTTAACCAGGGTTATTTCCTTTTGCTTTCATTAGGTAGTAAGAGAGTTGGCATAACTTACGTTTCATTTAATGTTATCAAGAAAAAAAACAATAAAATTACAGTTCAGGTGAAATTAAATATTAACTCATCCCGAATCAAAGCAGAAAGATTGATCAAGTTAAACAATATCAATTAGGATAATCTTTACATTGTTCTACTTTGATTACACGGTTCAAAACCCAACAGGAATGTTGACCAGTGTCACATGTATCAATGTGATATCAGTTAATACCAATTAACCCAAAAGTTAATGCATTTATAGTGAAAAAAACAGGTAAAACTCCTTGTTTTGTAAACTTAGAGGACAAATTTGCAATAGTCATTCCAGATTTGACTGAATACTTTAAGCCAACTGTCACCACTGTCCCTTTGGCTGAAATGCATCATAAAAAAAGCACGTTATGGACTGATAAAGCTACATGTTTATGCACCACATGTTATAATATCTATACAAATACACAGAGTATGGTGAGAAAGGCTGTAAAATAGCAAATATTACCAGCACCAGAGTGAAGTCCTACCACTGCTCCCAGCTAAAGTCATCTCCTCTCCCAAACACAAGGAAAAAGCCTAAAATAGTAAGGAAAATGACTGCATTGCCAGCCAGCACCAGGCCACAGGCTCCCCATTTGATCTGAAATGCAAGGAAATGGAACAATCAAAGCAAATCAAAGTCCAGGGCAGATATTTCTATGCATTAGAGAAACTAAAAATACTACAGGAAGGTGCTAAGCATAAAGAAAAAGACATAAAAATAAATAAATCAATTTATGTGGCCAGTTATTCAATTAGCAGACACTCATATTGCTAATACAACACTTCAACAGGCTAGTGCTATGATGCAGAACAAAAAAATAACCACATAATAACAAAAATAATAATGAAAATAATATAAATATATAATACAAATAATCTATACATAATATAAACAATAAAATAATATAAAATTTATATAATAAAAGAAAACAACTGAAATATTTTTAAAAATAATGATAAAAAACCACTCATCATAGAAATCACTGAAACATACCTAAATCAGAGAGAAATGTTGTGAAATTAGTGCTCTAATTGCCGTGCAACAAAATAAAAGATCTCCTTTCAAATAACTAACAAGCATTAAAAAAATGGTCTTAAAATAGCTTTTTTTTTTTTTTTTTTAACAATTAGTCCAACTGATTTTACTCAAATAAGCAACACTTAAGAGTTAAAGATACAGCTGTGAATTAGAGTTCCCTCTCGTGGTCATTCTGCTTCTCCTACTCTCAGATCCACAGCTTCAAAACCAAAGTGTCAGGGAAACTGGACACTAAAAATAAACTAACTCAGCACACGAGTTTCAAGAAAAACTGAAAGACTAAAGGGGAAAAACAACGCAATAAAAAAGTCAGTGGGCAGTCTGGGAGACGGGACAAGGGGATTCTCTGCGTGGCAAATAAATGCGACAAAAATCTCACCCCTGAAGAGCAGCTCAGAAAGCAAAGAGAAAAGGAGTTAAGCAGAGTTTCCTCAGGCTCTGAGGGGACAAAGCAAGAGCTTGGGAAATGCTCTGAAAACCAGAAAGGCAGCTCTGGAAGTTTGGCCTTTTATCTTTTAACTGATAATGGACTCCAGTCACCAAGTTTTCAGCATCCTAAATGGAGAAAGCAGAGATTCCAAGATAAAAATAAGGAAGCTGGTGCAAGGGGTGATGCAAAGGATCATGAGACACAGAGGCATGAGATGGAGGAGGAGATGTTATCTTGTATTAGACCAAAACAAATCTTGGGGGAAAGAAAAACAGCTAAAAACTTCTCAGTCACGCAAGTCCTTCATTCAGGTCAAAAAGCAGCACTGACACAACTTCAGCAGATTGTTTTCATCTGGAGACATTATATAATAAAATTAAAGACAGGATTTACAGGCAGCAACAGTGCATTTAAAGATTATTCTCAGCATCTGGTGTCTAAAAATAAAAATTAGCAAGAACTTACTGCTTCAACTCGTGCAAGGATTATTGGAAATCCAAAAGCTGAGACAACAATTCCTGTGGTGAAGAAATAGGCCAGTTCCCTGCAGGCACTGCTGGCAGCATCACTGTCATCACTCACTCTTCTGGCAATGAAGTGGGGAATGGGGCAGATGAAGTAAAATATCAACACAAACAGAGGCCAGTACACACTGGGAAGGGGGAAAAAGAAAATGTATAATCAGTTGAATGGATGCTTCAGTCAGAAAAATTACTGCAATGGCTTTAATCCTACTTTATAGTTTGAAAAGGGGATTAGCCACAAGGTTTCACCCAAAAAGTGGCAATCCCACCTCACTTTCCCTAGCATAAGCACTCATAGAGCAGAAACCACCCCCTCACACAACCAAGTGTTAATTTGTTTTACGTTTGCATCACTTTGCTGATTCAACTCTCACCACAGAGGGAAGAGGAACATTAGCAGGATAGGAGCAGCTTTCCCAAATGAGAGGGATAACCCAGCTGGCTGAAGGCACACCCCGGCACTCCCATCTCTGTGTCAGAGCTCTCAGGAGCCTCCTCTGCGTTTTGAAGTGTTACAGACACAGAATCACAGAATTACAGAACAGTTTGGGTTGAAAAATACCCCAAAGCTCATCCAGTTCCAACCTCCATGGGCGGGGGCATCCCAATTGGAGCCCTGTGGGAGGGTGGTTAAAAGAAACAGGAAATTAAGGGAAAGGAGTGTGCGAGGCTAAAAATCGCTCTTTAGCAACCAGGCACAGCGTTTCCAGAGACAGTACAGAGCTGTCTGCAGTCATTTTTTTTTTAAATGGAAATGCAAATCCGGCTAAGGAAGTGGCCTTTAAACACAACAAACCGCCACGTGTCACGAGCCAGGAAGTGGGGAACTGTTGGAAGAGCCAAACAGCTCAATTAAATGAGAGTAACATCTCCATTAATAGATTTGAAGCAGGAGAAATTCTGGGAAGTCAGCCGGCCCGCTCACCCGTAGTATTCCAGGGCGCAGCCCAGCATGAGGAACGTCAGCCCGATGGCTCCGCTGAAGGACAGGGCCACGAGAGCTGCAACGGCACAGGGCGGGCGGTGAGGTGGCAGCCGGGCATCCCCCCCGGGACCGGGCACCTTCCCCCCGGGGACCGGGTACCACCTCAGCGGGGCCGGGCATCCCTCCCGCGGGACCGAGTACCACCTCACAAGGGATGGGGAACCGCCTCCCCGGGGGCCGGGCATCCCTTCCCGCATTCCCGGCCGGCCGGCCAGCCGCCCGCTCCCGCGCTGAGGCGATGGCTGGACGCTCCCCGAGCGGGAAGCCCTAGGAAGGAGGAAGGGAAAAACCCTCAGTACCTTTGACGCCCGCCATGTCCGGGCTCCTGAGGCGACTTCCGCCTTCTGGTCACGCCCCCTCCTGCATCACGTGACCGCCGGCATTAAGAAAGCGGGGGGGGGGAAGATGTTCCCGCCCTCACTACGAGGGGCGGGGCCTGCTGAGGGGGCGGGGCCTCCTGAGGGAGCGCCCCCCCCCCCGCGGGGGTTTGGAGCGGATACCGGCGCTAATATACGTGTTTGGTTTATATACGGTATGTAAGGAATGTATACATGTGATGAATACATATATGTGTGGGCACAGCCGCAATCTGAACGCAAAAGCACCGTTTTAAAGCTCCCCCGCCCCTCAGTCGCTGCCGTCTTGCGGGGTTCTCCTGAACCCCCCAGTTCTCACCCCAAGAAATGGGCCCGGGGCGCCCGTTCATATCATGCACTGCCTTCTCAGGGTCTGCATCATCCCTTCTGATAATCCACCCCGAGAAGGGCACGTGGGTTTTTTTAAAGCAATATTTTTCAAGCCTTGGATTTTTGAGATGCCACTTTTGACCCCACATTTTTTACCCAAGAGCTGCCTTTTTGCCCCAAGAACGACCTTTTTGACCTAAGAACACTCCTTTTGCCGCAAGAACAGCCTTTTTGAGGGAGATTTTGGACAGTCCTTTGGATACCCCATCCCCAGGGAGCTTTTCGTCAGATACCTCCCCTCCCTGCCTCTCATTTCTTCTCGTTTCATATCTCCGTGATAGAGAGTTTTTCCCATTTTTCATTATTAATTTTAAATAATTTTGAGCCAAGAAGGCTAATTAAATCGGGCTTAAACAGCTGAATGCTTCAAGTGAAAATTCTGGCATTGCTGACTTGCCTGGCTATGGGTCTCTGAAGCACATTAGCATAAGAACAACAATGACAAGTTGTTTCCAAAACATCTTAATTTGGGAAAAGCACCTGGAATGCCAACCTATGGATAACCACAGGCAGTAATGATCATTTACAGCAGCAATATTGCCCCTGGCCAGGGCGCACCACCCCTCACAAAGGAGCTGTTGTAGGACTTTGACCTTTTGGGCTGGTCACAAGCACAGAACATACCTGAATATGTTAATTTGAGCTTTTTAATGTATGTACAAATGTTTTAGACCAGTCACAATTTCATTGAGTATATACCGTATTTACAAAAATTACAATAATTGAGTCAAACAGTAAACCTGAACATTGGTAACCTCTGTCACTACCAGATATGACAAGAACTTTTTTTTTTAGTTAACTATGTTGGTATACATACTTCCTAATACTTTCATGCATCCATAAAAACATTAGGGATGGAAGTAATCAAAGCTTAAGTGGCATAGGGGTTTTTTTTGGTAGATAAACTTTAATGATGGATTTGTATCTTGTGAAGGGATGAGTATCCAGAGTTATGTGCCCTGACAAACTCCATACAAAGCTAATGTTGTTTTCATCATTAAAAAAGTACATTATAGTAATGAGATCCTTTTTATTATATAGGCATAGGTCACAATATCTACAAATGTGAATGAGAAACAGTAAACCAACAAATCACAGGAACATGATTCACATTCCAGTTATCTCTTTAAATAAGACAAGCACATACTGGATCAAAACATTAATAAATAACATCCAGTTTGTTACTATTATCTTAAGGTCTTTTATATAAAAGGAGACCTATGTGTTGGTTTCACATTTTCAGTTAATGATAGTAAATAATGGACCGATACAACAAAAGGATGAGTTTTATACAGAAAGCAATGTACTTTGACACACTGTCTTTGCAGTAATAGCTTTGCCACTTGAAAATGTAAGTGCAACAAGTAGTGGATTGTCTTGAAAAACCACCAACTTTAAAGACTCACATCAGATGGCAACCTGTTCCTGAAGCAGTAAATACTATTTCCTGCCCGTCTGCTGAATATCCCTCAAATACGGATACAACATGTTGGTAAATAAACTGCTACCTTTAGTAACTCTACAAAAGAATACCAGAATTTGGGGTGAAGTTTGAGTTTGAACTTGCTTTTTAACTAGGAAAGCTGCTTCAGCTTTAGCATCAGGGATATTTCCTTGTGATGTTACTGCTTTGGTCCAATATAAACTTCAAAGAGGATCAATTTGCACTGTATTTACCTCAATGATCAGACCTGGTCACCACGATCTGAAAGGTGAAGTTGCAACAGGTTGCAGCCTGCCAAGAGCCTTGGCCAAGTGCTCTGAAGCTGATAAAGGCATAAAGGTGATACAAGTGGGCTGGGAAAAGTCTTCTGAATCCTCAGGAGGGGGAAGTGTTACCTGTAGACTGGGAGGTTTCTAAAACTTTGCAGCAGAGCTTTAATTTATTGATATTTTTGTGTTTTATGGTTTCAAGCTGCTGGTGAGAATTCCATGGGAAATGCAATACACGCTCATTCCTCACTTTTACAAACATGGATTCACCCTTCCCCCCAAAACTGCTGTTTAACAAACCAGCCAAGTGTTGTTTAACATCAATGACTCCTTGCTTGCTTTAAAAGACACTTGCTAAGGAATTTCTTCTGCACATTCCACTGCTGGACTGTGAGGTGAAGTACAGGATTAATGCATAAAGCAGCGGGCGGCTGCCACGCTGACCTAACCCAGGGTTCAGCTTTGGCTCTATTCAGGCAGACTACACTATATGAGCAATTAAGCAGCAAATGGTGACTGTTAGAAGTGTGTCTAAACCACATCTGAGCACTTAAATTTGATAAAGTTTGATCCAAACCCAATAAAAAAAAAGTACATCAAAGTTTCGGCTTCACCACCAGTTGATGAACTCAACTGAAGTGTTGCCATATCACATATCACACCAAAAAAAAAGCAGGAAATTCACCAGCTACAGTGTGTTGGAGACAGAACAATTCCACCTTTTCCCAGTATGTGTTCTCTCTCATCCCACTGGAATCCAAAGAAAAAATATAAAAGTTACAAGAAACTGTAACCTCTTGGCTCTCGTAGCGTGAGCCAGGTGGCCAGAGTTCCTCTGAGCTCAGGATTCTTGAGACAAGTGTTAGGAAACCTTTCTCTTGTTCTTCGTGATAAGTATTAGGCTCTTAGTTTTCTGAAACTTCTGAATTTCCAGCCGGAGTTTGGTTGTTCTGTGACATTTGTGACAAGAGACTATATAAGCACTAGCACGGGTCTGTAGTGGAGACTGAGAAGGTACCTAATACAAGGGTTTTTGTCCTTGGTTTTCAAATTCTGACCAGGCATCGTTTAGCTCCATAAATATCATCTTTGCATATTGTTCATATGGCTGTCCGGTAGCCTGGAATAGAAACAGAGAGAGGGATATCACAGCTCCCAAATCCAACCCCACACAGCTGGCATGTGAGCAGGGAGATTCCCAAGCACTTACTGTTCGCTTTCCACAAATTTACACTTATTCCTTGACAAAAATGAGCTACTCTGGAGGGCTGCTTGCCTTCTTTACACTTGAAGAATACCTTGGCCCTTCTGCTCCTCAAAGCTCACAACCCCCAGGTGTGACAAAGCACTGTCCCAAGGGCATAATAAATGTAAGTCAGGCATGGCAAGAGGCCTTTTACCAGGTGAAGAGCTACCACCTGACACAGTTCCTTGAGTAAACCAGTATTCCTGCAAGGCTTGGGGCAGCCTACACCTTCCCAAGCCTTGCCCACTGCCCTGAAACTCTCAGGGCCCCCCTTTCCTTAGAAGTCCTCATTGTAGGTTGTCCCAGATGGAGTCATTGCACTCTGATCAGCAAGTGTAAGCAGCAAGACCACAATCTGGGTCATCAGATAACCTGATTATTCCATTTTAGGAGTTTGATTTGAATCTCCTTTAGCTGGCACAGTACTGTTGGCTGTTGTCCACCAGCAGAATGGCTGAGGGTCAAAGTGAGGGTGACAAAAGCTGAAGATCTGAGTCTCTGCTGCTTGGAGAGTGAGCTTGGGCTGAGAGTGGTTACAGAATCACAGACTGATTTGGGTTGGAAAGGACTTTAAAGCTCATCTTGTTCCAAACCCCTGCTATGGCAGGAGCGCCTTCCACTGGACTGGGTTGCTCACAGCCATACCATGGCCTTGAACACCTCCAGGGATGGGATGAGAGTCCTCAGTTTTCAGAAATCCTCAGAAATAGTGTTTTTACTATTACTTTTACTAACCTGTTTGCACAATAAATTCAGCAATCACACCCCACACTTCGTAACAACAACGATGTCTGAACAAGCGAAAGTAGGAGAGCCGTACCTTGTCAGGATGAACGACAAGCACTGCTCGTCGATACACCTTCTTCACCTGCTCTGGTGTCACAAGGTCTGCCATACTCACAGGCTTCCACTTGGTCTCCCCTGCCCACAGCACTGTGTGCATTGTGGACAGCAGGGCTCTTATGTTCCTCTCCTTCCCTTCAATCCATTCCAGAACCTGGAGAAAGGAATGTGAGTCTCAATTTATGCCTTACATTAGATATTCCACTAGGACAAAGTTTCTTCATTTGAATAGCAATGACTCCAAGGAGCAGCTTACATTTCTTTCCATACTTTATTTAGAAAACCTTTGGAAGACATTTGTCTGTCTCTCATGGATCATTAATTTTTATATCCCTGCTAAAAATACTGACTTGGTAACATTTCACTCATTAGATGGAATAGTCAGAAGTTGTGATTTCATATTTCAAACATAGAGCAGGACAGACTGAATTTCCTTCCCATCTTAATAGATCTGCAGTTTGGCAATTTATTGAGGAGAGATGAGAGAATTCCAAAGCAGGCAAGATTAATGAGGCAGAGGATTAGTTCAATTAGCTGTACCTGCTAATCAGGGCTGGAGTGATGTGGAAGACCAGCAGCCCAGACAGCAACACTGAGTAAGGCACTGTTGATAAGGTCTGGTTGAGGACAGAATTGTAACCTTGGAGTTTAAAATCTATTCAGGATGAATAATGACACACTGACTGTAAAACCTTCACTAAGAATTTTGCTTACTTTTAGTTTTTCAGGGTCCATCTCCTTCGCCATTTCTTCTTTTCTCATCTCAGCTATTGTTTTGGGGCCCTTCTTATCCTTGTGAGCATTAAAGCCTTGACCAGATAACAGATCTTC